ATGCAATCAAAATTAACGAAACTAGTATTTAAAAATAAAATAATAATATTATATTAATTTATTTTTTATATTCTTAATTTTTTTATTATTAATATTTAATTATTATATTAATATATTATGTTATAATTTTTTATTTATAATAAATAAAAATTATAATGTATTCAAAACTAAAAATATTTATGCACGATTATACGTATTTAAAAAATTAATTTATTTAATTATAAATTATTATATTTGTTATATTTAAACAAGCTGAAAAAGAATAAGATACAATCAAAACTAAACGAATTAAAATTTAAAAATAAAATATTAATATTCTTTTAATAAATTTTTCATATTTTTATTTTTATTATTATTAATATTTAATTATTATATTAATATATTATGTTATAATTTTTTATATTTATAATAAATAAAAATTTCTTAAATATAAATTATATTTTATTTGAAAGGAAAAATTTATAAAAAATGATAAAAAAATAAAATAAAAAATTTATTATAATATATATTAATATATATATATATATATATATATAATCAGACCATGTAGCAAATAATATAAATAATATAATTATAAATAAATTATATAATAATATATATTTTTGTAACTTGCACGTGTTTTAATTAAATTATTAGTTAATTTATTAATTTATATGCAATATATAAGTATATGTTTTAATTTGTTGTATCAATTATATTTTCTATAATACATTAATGTTATAATGTAGTTAATTTTATGTTTATTTGTTAATTTAAAATAATAAATTAATGAAACAAATAAAATTAAATATTTTATAATTATTTTTTTTAATTTAATAGTTATTATTATTGTCATTATATATATATATATATATATATATATATATTGCATTAAGTTTGAATTTATTTATTTTTTAAAACATAATAATTTTCTTTTAATTGATTCAACAAATTGTGTGAATGTTATTTTTTTTTATCAATTTTATGTGTTTACTGTAACTTTATTTGTTAAATATAAGATGTCTTTAAACAAATAAAATACGTTTCTAAAATAAAACTAAAATATTTACTATTTATATAATTTTTAAAAAATAAATCAAGAAAAATATAAATATAAATTTGATTAATATAAAATATTTATAATTAATACTTAAATAATATTTTAATAATTATTAATAACATAGATAGAAATTAGAAAAATATATAAACTAATTTGATAATAAAATATTTATATTTTATTAATATTAATTTTTTTTTGTAACAAAATTCAGACCAGGCCAGCCACTTAAATAGATCAGGTCAGGCCTAAAATAAAGCCTTTAACAGGTAACAGGTCAGACTCAGGCCTAATAATTATGTTACAAGCCAGGTCTGTTTAGAGTAAAACTTGGTCTGGTCTGGCCTGTTTCCATCCCTATCTACAACATCAAGTAAGTCACTATAGGGAAGAAAACTGAAGCTCATTATGAAAGTAACCATTTTCCTAACTCAGAGTGGTCACCTCCAGCGAAGGTATGTGACTCTACTCTCTGTAATTCTCACTTTTGCATTTGATAGTAGTCACTTTCAAAGTTTTTGGGCTAATTAGGTTGCAAGCTACTTTTAAATTTGATAGTAACCACGCACAGGCACTCTAGGGGATGCACATGTTGGATGCTTTCTGTAGTTGCCACTATGGTAACGCAGGACACTTTTTGAACAAATTTGGTGCGGGTGTTCACTATTGTTTTGATAGTAGCTATGTGCAAGCCTACTAGGAAAATTTTGAAATTAGGCGCCCCTGTAGTGTCCACTATCGTTTTGATAGTAACCACGCATAACACCACTTTTGCAAAACTCCAATGCACATGTTTACTATTATTTTGAGAGTGAAGAAGCCCAGCCCTTATATATATAGTGCCCACTCTCCCTCCCACTTTCACACTCACCCTCTGAACATGTCAACTCTCAATCCCAATTCTTTCTCCATCTCCCTCGCATTGGATTTTTTGCACCAAGGATCACAATTTCTTGCATTTTGATACCAATTTTGTGCCTCAGTCTAGGTAATTTCCCAATATCCTCTATATTAAGGTTCATCATTTCTCAATTTGGGGATTCTGATCTAGGGTTTCATGTGTTGAAATTGTTGTGTAAAATCTGTACGATTGCATGATTGAAAGGGATTGGGGGTGTTTAATTGGGTTAATTTGCTGCATTTTATCATGATCAAACCCTAGGGTAGCCACCCTCATCTGTGATAGTGATAACTTTGTGCGTTCTAATGAAATAGTTGTAACATCCTCAATTTGTAATTTATTATTATTGCAATTAATATTAGTTGTTTGTGCATGTTATTTAAAATTAGAAGTGTTTGATTGAGGTGAACTATAGGATATCTCGCTGTAGCTAGACAAATCTCGTTGTAGCGAGAATGCTACTCTCTCGCTGTAACTAGAATGACAGACAGCAAAGGAAGAAAACTTCTAGTTTTTTTGTTGTAGCGAAAACCTCTCGCTGTAGCGAGAAAGTTGCGAGTTTGAGAGATATTTAAGGAACTCTCGCCCTAAAATCTTCATTTTCAACCAAATCACATATCCCTCTCCATCCTCTTCGTTCTCTCCTCTCTCTCTCTCTCTAAAGGAAACTCTCTAGGACTCCAAATCTCTTCCAGATCCGAGCTTAACCACTGATTCCATCCAGATATAAGTAAGTTTCTCAGAGCTCAGATCTCTATTTTATTCCTTTTCTTCAGTTCCCTTCTTATGTTAAGATCTCTACCTCAAAATACTTAGGAAACCTTACTTTTTAGAAGATATCTCCATGAATACTGTGGAATCTCTCCGTAGATCACTTAGAGAACTAGTTTGGAGCAACCGTTATCAGCTAAGGGGAGTATTTTCTAGCTGTAGTTATATATATATATATATATATATATATTTATATATAGATCTAGTAGTTCTTCAAGAAATATGAGTATCTTACTTAGTAAAGTTCTGTAAATTTTGATAGTATCATATGACAAAGGTGTATTTTGATATAAAGAGAGGTTTGGAGTTTATTTTAAACTGATAATATCATATTTTTAGAGAAAATATGGGCTTAAGTAGTATTAAGAGATTTTAGAACTGAGTTCCTTAAGATGTATATGAATTAAGTAATAAAAGATATACTATAATGAACCTTAGGTTAGGAGACTATATATTGAGATTGTACGAGCTGGGCTGAGTCCGAAGGTGTTCAACCATCGGCATATTGTACTGATTGTATAGTGTGATATTGCGTGGTAGTCTCTGTGATAAGTTTGATATTTTGTATTGGTTGCGTGATATGACTTTGTATGACAACTTTACATGTTGAACTAGTAGAATTATGGAAATGAATGAAGTGTTGAATGAAAGTGAAAGCATGTGATATATGAATGAGAAATGAGAATATGATCTAGAAAGAATATGAGGCGTGATTATAATGCATGAGTTCACGCAACTTGAAACGGAGTGATTATGATATAAATTATAGCACATCGAAAGAGTGTGTTATCATATATATTGTAATCCATGAATTTATATAAATTGTGACTCATGAATCATGACATGCTGATTGATATACAGAATGTGAAATGAGAAATGAGAAATGTTGAGAATGAGAAAGAGAATGAGTATAGATAGTACAACGATACACTAGGGTATATAGAGTTAAGGAGAAGATTTGGAAAATCTTGGGGAAATGAGGATGGTGAATGTTAACAATGGTGCGTAATAAATTATTGAAAATAAACATTCATAGGCCACACCCTCATCTCCCGAAGAAGCTCCTGACTATACCTTTGCTAAAAAGGGCCGGGACGGCACATGTGTATCCGTGATGTTGCGGCCAACTAGCAGCTATCTATGCTAGAAGTCCTCAAGGGATCACAGGGGCAATTATTATGATGAAAAGTGATATAGATGAGAGGTGGTAAAGAATATGTATGATATGATATATGTATTATACTAGGTCAGTTCCTGTTGTTATGGTATGTGTGTTGTAGTACATCAACGGGTGTTACTGTATAATAACATACAGGTCAACATAGAAATGTATGTATAATGAGTGAAATGTTATATGTGTTTGATGAATGATTATATGACTACATTTATTTGAATGAGAATGAATTATAATAAAGTATTAGGCCACGACTCTAATTATTATTATTAGTTAAGATATACTAAAAGAAATTTAGTGGACAGGAAATACTCACCCTTACTGATTATTTTCAGGTAATGAAAGAGAAGAAATGGAGACAAATGATCCGTTCTAGGGTCATACTCATCAAGGAGTTGTAGGAAAGGAACTGCTTGGATATAATAAAGTTTTATGAAATAGATGTATAAATCTTTAATGTATTTTCATTCATTTTAAAAGAGAAATCTTGTGTTAAGAATATATTTGTATATTTCTGAAGAAATATTGTAAATTCATCAAGTTTTCTAATTCGTGTTCCCATATTGTACCATTTATATAAAGTATACAAATTTTTCTAATTACGTTTTAATAATATTAGTGTTAAATATAAATTAATTTCAGTATGAAAGAGGAATGTTACAAAATGGTATCAGAGCAGTTCGTCCTAACAAGCCTGGGGTATGGGACTAGTTCGCTCATGTTATGTGTTATTTGTAATGAAATGTAGTAAAGTAAGAACGAAATATGATTGCTGTTAATGTGACCTGTTTGGTACTCCAGATGGAGATTTCTGTGAAGTGTTTGATTTGAATGTGTATATGTATACGTATGTGAACAATAGGTTTACAAACATATGTATGATGTGTTCATTTAGATTAGAAATGATGAGTAGAGATAGATCAGTTGAAGTTACCGCCACGACTCCGGCAAATATAGCTTAAGTGTTAGAACTCTTAGTGTATGATCAGAATACATAAGTAATTAACAGTCACGGATTACCAACGTTTATGAAGCATTGTCCTCCAAAGTTTGAAGAAGAGTTTGACCCGGAAGGAGCTTAGAAATGGATTGCGGATGTGGAACAAGTTTTCAATACAATGGGCTATCGAGAAGAACATAAAGTTGACTGTACTACGTTTATGCTAATTGGAAAGGCAGAGAATTGGTGGAAAGTCACAAGCAACACTTTCCAAAAAGAAGGTGGATTCATCACTTGGGATACATTTAAGATAAGTTTCTTGGAGAATCATTTCCCAGGGGATCTAAAGAAACAAGAGGAGAAAGAATTTCTAAGGTTAAAACAAGGAGGAGGATCGGTTAAAGAGTATGCTGTAAAATTTCATGAGCTGATGAAGTACTGGATCTACTTTCAGCAAGAAAATGATGACAGAGATTGGTGTAAAAGATTTGAGAATGGATTAAGGAGTGACCTTCGCACAATAGTCAGTATTTTCCAACTAACGGATTTACCAACATTAATAAGTAAGTGTATAATGTTGGAAGATAGTTTGAAAGGGGAGTTAGTGGATAATAAACCTGGAAGGTTGTTGGGGCAAGAAAAGAAGGTTAATAAATTTCAAAAAGAATCATGCTCAAATGCCACTAAACTGCGAGCAAGGAAAAAGACACTTTATAGTAACGATCGCAACAATTCTAAGGACTCTCATAACAAGGCTAGATGTTTCCGATGCGGAGGACCCCATGTAGTCAAGGATTGCCCACAACCACCTGCTAAATGTAATTACTATGGAAGAATGGGGTATACGGAAGGTGTTTATTGGTGCGCCCCTCAAAGGAGTGGAAGCATTGGTGAAGTGTTTTAGATGTGAGGACCACATCGGATAAGGAATTGTACACAAATACCTGCAACATGCAACCATTGTGGAAAGACAGGACATTCCACGGATGTTTGCCGATTTGCATCACGAAGAAATGAAGGTACAAGCGGAGACAACAAATCAGTGTCTAAAAGTCAATGATCCTCTAAACTCAGGAAAAGAAAAGTTACAATTGTAGAAAATCTCAGTTAATGGGGTAAGATACAGAACGAATGATGTTGTCACATCAAGAGGAGTAGGAATGTGTAATGTAGTCACCACGTATATAGCGACCTTATTAGAATCTTGTCGTTTTGTTGTAACTTAGAATTCTATATATAAACTCCTTCGTGGCATAAGAACTTTTGTCTTATCTGTAACTTGTGGCGATAGAGTGATTACTTTGACATTATCCGCCATCACAGCACTTATTCTGGTTTTCCTTTATACTGTCAGTTTGAACATTATTTTGAAGCTGCCATGCACAATTGCTATACATCTTTGTTGTATAATATCAATGCACATTTCACTCAGATCTTTTCTTCTCTTTCTAGCACAATGGCTAACACTCCAAGACTCAAGAAGGCTAGGACAGCTGGTGCCTCAGCTTCAAGACCTACTCCTGCACATGACCTCAGATTTAGATCTATTGTTCATGAGCAATATTTCAAGGACAACATTCTGAAAAGGCAGATTGTACAGGATAGGAACTTCAAGATCTAGGAAGGCACTTATCCTCAGTTCCAAGAAGAAATTCAGAAAAGAGTTTGGGATCTCTTCACAACATGTGCTGGGAATGGGTGGAAGGAAATCACCTAGGAATTCTATGCCAATGCCATGCGAGTAAAAGGCGACACTCTCCCCCATAGACACAGCATGGTGAGGGGTAAGGAAATTGATTTCACTCCCACCAATATCTTGAGGATCTTGAATATCCCAGATGTGGATAGGGCATCTGGCCAGTTAGACTTCACCACTTTTAGTTATCTAGAGAAGAATGATGAAACTGCTATAGGACTTAGGAATTTATTTGAAAATTTTGATGTACTCATTAAGTTCTATAGCAACGATTTGATACAAGTTGTAACCATCCTTATTTTGAAATATTTTAATGAACCATGTATGGGAAAAACTAATTTGAGAGAAATTTTATTTCATCCCATTTTTCTGAAACTTGATATTTAATTAAATTAAATTTAAGGTGTTACATAACTTATTTTATTCTTGAAAAATAATTAATCCATTCACGTCAATTTCCCTCCAAATTTAACTTCTCAATTAAACATACAATAATAATAAGACATGAAAGCACATTACTTTACACTTAGCCAAATATCATCATCCGATCCATAATTTCATGCCACTTTATCCCTTTCTCTTTCAAATATTCCATCAATTCAACCGTACTCTAGGTACTTTTGGGCCCCTAATTCGCTGCCAACGTACTCTCTTTAGTTACAAAGGACTTACGCAACATAGATAGTCGTTGGTGAGTTAAACCGCACATGGATACAACGTGTGCATTCACAGTCGTCCAAACAAAAGTATAGTTAGGAGTTCAGTCAAAAAAGAAGCGTGAGGCCTGTAAATGCTTATCACTTTTACATCGTGTACACATCAGTTAACTGCATTTACCACTCTTATTTTCCCTAGATTTCAACAATCAACTTCTGACCCTATAACCCCAGTGTATCCCTGAACTATCTATACCATATCTCAATCGTGGAACATCACTTTATACTGTTCTAATACATATGTTGCAACTACATTAATCAATGTAATACAACATATGTGTTATAATCTCACTCGTTAGTGTATTACAACACATATATCATAATTGCATCAATCGATATATTTGTAACACATGTACTAGTATTCCATTTTCTTTCCTTTACACATATCATTACTTTTCCATCCTTTTTTCTCATCATTGGTTTGATCAATACATATTCAGTAATTCACAAATCCTAACAAATTTGAATTCACATATTTATACATTTCTTCTTCTCAATATCCACTAAACTTCATTAAATTCAGACAATCATCATATTTTTTTATTTCAGTACATAACTACAAACAATAATACATCATCACACAATTCAGCACAATTATCATATTTTATCACTTCATCACATATTTATCAGACAATAACACATTGGCACACAATATGCGAGGAGTCGAACACACTCAGACTCAGTCCAAATCGTGTAGTTTCATAATAATTCACCAGAGGTCATGTTTCCTCAATCTCAATAGAGTCTCCTATCCCAGAGTTCAATATTCTCTATCTTTTAATTACTTAACTCCTATACATCCCAATTAACTTAATCCTAAAACTTCTTCATGTTGTCCTAGCCCATACTTTTGCTAAGAATCTGATTCCAATGATTTCAAATAAACCCAAAATTTCTTTTTATACCAAAAATTCACTTTTACTATATGGTTTCATAAAAATTTAGAGATTATTACTAAAATAGATTACTCATATTCTCATGGGATCACTACATATAAAAATAAAGCTAAGGCTTGAGAATACTCTCATTACCTTGGAACGAGTCTGAGAACTAAGTTCTTCGTGAGCTCTAGGAAGAAACTCCATCTCTCAATCGGTAAAACTTCCCAAGAACTAGAATTCTTTCTAACGTCACAGAATATATTACTATTAGAAGGAGAAAGAACAGGAAAATAGAAACTAGAGTTAAGAGTTGAGCTCCAGAAACTTACACAGATCCAAGAAGAACAAACGTTAAGCTCAGATCCAACAAAGATTCAGAGGTATTAAGGGTTTTCTCTAGGATGGAAGAGGGAAAAAATAGAGAGATCAGAGAAAGCGAAGTGTTTTTTGGGTGAGAAATGAAATTTCTCAACATAAAAGCCCTTAAATATCCTTCAAACCCGCGCGATCTCGCTTGAGCAAGCGGGCTCTTGCTTGAGCGAGCTAATCAGATAATGGTTTTATGATATCCTCGCTTGAGCGATAGGTATTCTCGTCTGAGCGAGAACGGGTCCAGAGAGTTCCAGATATTTCTGTGACACCTCGCCTAGGCGAGCTCCCTTCTCACCTAGGTGAGAGGCCAATTAAGATAACTCCATCCTTTCTTGCTTGAGCGAGAAGTCTTGCACCAAAACTTTTATTTTACCCAAAAACAAAGAATAGAAATAAGGATCTTACACAAGGAGGAAAAATTTAAACTAAGAAAGGAAGAGTATAAGAGAAAAAAGGAAAGTGATAAATAAAAGAAAATAGAAGGTTATCAGTATCAAATGCGAAGCAATGCGAACATCATGATCAATCTGTTTACTGTCAGATGATAGAAGGAGAATTAGATGTGGTAAACCTTGGTACCATGACATCATGAGTTATTTAAAGAATAAAGAATACTTGTTTAATGCTTCTGAGAATGACAAATGAATATTAAGAAGGTTAGCAATAAGTTTCTTTTTGAAAAGAAATGTGCTTTACAAAAGAAATCATAACATGGTGCACCTGAGATGTGTAGATGTTTTAGAAGCACAAAAGATCAGTAACTTTAAGGTTCATTCAAGACTCATGCCAATAGAAATGCCATAGAAAAGAAAATTTTAAGCTTTGGATATTATTGGTTGACAATGAAGGGTGATTGCTTTCATTATGTGAAAACTTATCAAAAGTGTCAGGCATATGCTAGCAATATTAACGCTCCCTTGACATCTTTTAATGTCTTGTTATCACCTATGTTGTTTTTAATATGAGAAATGAACATTATTAGACCCATTGAACCTAATGCCTCTAATGTGATCGCTTTATTCTTGTTGTCATTGACTATTTCACAAAAATGAGTTAAAGTTTCCTCAAACGCTGGTGTGACTTGAAATGTAGTTGTGAAGTTTGTTAAAAGAGATTTGATTTGTCATTATGGTCTTCCTAACAAGTTAATCATAGACAATGGTACTAATCTAAATAACAAAATGATGAAGGACTTGTATGATAACTTTAAGATTCAACACCATAACTTCTTCACTTACCATCTATAGATGAATGAAACAGTTGAAGCGACCAATAAAAATGTTAAGATCATTCAAAATGGTGGTGACAAATAGTGATTGGCATGAAATGGTACCTTTTTCTTTACACAAATACTAAACTTTAATTAGGGCAACTTCTTTTTTTTTGGTCTATGGAATGGAAGCAGTACTTCCTGTTGATGTTGAACTTCCTTCATTAAGAGTGTTAATAGAGATGAAATTAGAGGAAGTAGAGTAGGTTCAATCTCGTTTTGATCAGTTGAATCTCATTGAAAAAAAATAATTGAATGCATTATGTCATGGCCAACTATGCTAGAGAAAAATGAAAAATGCTTTTGACTAAAAAGTTTGTTTGCAAGAATTTAGAGGAGTCATGGTGCTCAAAAAGAGTTTATTAACATAGAAAAATCATCGTGGTAAGTGGTCTCCAAATTATGAAGGACCCTATGTGGTAAAGAAAACCTTCTTAGGAATAGCTTGATCCTTACAAACATGGATAGGGAAGACCTCCTAAATCTTGTGAATTTTGATGTTGTCAAAAGGTACTATGCTTGAAAGTTTCTTGCAAAAGTATAAAGAACAAAAAACAATTAGCTCTCTAGGTTAAAAACTCAAAAGTGCGACCTAGAAAAAAGTTAAAATGACCTGATGAGTTGAAAACTCGAAAAAGCAACTCAAGCAAAAGTTAGGATCAAGTCAAATTCTCTACTAGGTTAAAAACTTAAAAAGACTGTCTAGAAGAAGTTTGAGCAAGAAGAAACTTGAAAGAATGTGGCAAGTAGCTCAAACTGGGGCAATATGATGTAGTGAAACAATAAATTAGAGAAATTTAAGAATGTTGAAGTTGAATTAGGTAATTAACGCGTAAAAAATCTCAAACTAGACAAATTTATTCTTTTGGAAGCTTTATTAATAAGCAGTCAGTCTACCAGCATGTGAGATTAGCACTATTCATATAAAGGATGTCACTTAATTAACATTATGCTTTATTGATTTCAATT